GTTTCCAGTGCTCCCACACATGTGAAGACCAGCTGGCTGGCGCACCAGAACCTGGAAGATCAACGGGCAATGGCTAGCATTTGCAGCATCATGGACTTATAGCATATCTCCATTCCACTAAATGAATTTGTCAATTGGACCAAATAACTTTCTGTCAGCAGAGACAGAAGACATCAATTGGATACAACCAATGACTGCAGATTTACAATAGTATAAGCATTCTTGGAAAACTTTCATCAAATGCATGAAGTGTTTTTATTTTTATTTATTATTAATCATATGTCCAAAGGCGATTTTGGACAGCTCCCAACAAAGTTAGTTTATTTAGTTTTTTTAATTAATAGGAAAATGTCTTTGTGAGGAAAAGACATGATAAAAGAAATGAAGTAAAAAACAAACTATGATTTCTGTTCATGAATCAAAGTAATGGGATGTGTTCTATTCAAGTTTTGATTAGCTTACCAATGCCAAAATATTTATATCCTTTTCAATGTTGTATTTACTATACATAATCACTGTATTTACTAGGATAAATTTATTAAGAATAAATAAGGTAGGTAAACCACACTTCCAAGATAAATCTTTCAGCTGCTCCTTTCTCCAGTTTTCTCACTATTACATTCTAATTATCTCTGATGTTTTATTCAAATACCCAGAGAAATAGTGTCCGTGAGCCAGAATCTTCCTATTCCTTTGTTTTATAGAAGGTTAAATTCTAACCTTCTTATATGTAGCTGAATGTGTGCAGCACTTCCTATTATTGCAACAACTCTAGAAGTATCACACACATCCAAAAGGCTGAGGGGAATTGGAAGTATTTGACAAATGAACACATTTGCCACCAGATCATATGTTGCTTTCTTTATAGAATAATGCAAGGTCTGCCCCAAAATACAACTGCTTGACAGATGCTTGAATGTTAAGAATGAATAATGAATAAGAAATGAGCAAATCTGCTTCATTACTGCATTTTGTGTACTTATAAGAACCAAAACTTTAGTAATGACAACTCCCTTTTTTCTTTTGAAAGACTACAAATGAAGTTGTCCTGGCCGTAGCTTTCCATCCAACTGATAAAGGTACGATAATAACATCTGGCAAATCTCATATCTTTTTCTGGACTTGGAATACAAATTCATTAACAAGGAAACAAGGAATATTTGGGGTAAGAATCTTTATATTGGACAAATTTCCTGAAGTTGCAAATTAGAATTTTTGAAAGTACATTGATTATATTCTTCCAAAGAAAGCTTTAAGGGGCCTCTTCATAATAATTCT